TTAAGTAGAAAGAGTCGAACTCTTGCCTCGACCAAATTCATGTTCATGCATTGTACGCTTCTTCTTTACGTATTCAATTTCGATAAGTCGAAATTTTGTTTGATTTTCTGCATGTAAAAGATTAGTTATCGGAATATATTTTATGCATCTAAAAGGTTAGTTATTTGAATGTAATTTATGCACATCAATTTTTGCCAACAATTATAAGACAATAGGTTCTGCATGCTTTTACTATTCATTGGTACATTTTATTGAAAAACTTTATACCTTGCTACGTGTTTTATTATATTAGCAACATAACCTTTGATTCATGCTAGAATGTTGTCCAAATATATAACATCATTAGAGTTTCAAATTTAATAATTGCATGCATATCTTAAGTTGTATGCTATAAATGATTTGGATTTAACCAGATTATCCTTTTTGCATTGTGTGGTCACAGGTCCCTGCCGGCAAGACACGTGTGTGGCCCGCGCTATTGGTTTTTTTTTTTTTTAAAAAAATACATGTGGGGTCCACCCCTTTGGCCCCTGCGAAAAATTGCCTTGTGCTCGGGGCATTTTCCTTAGAAAATAAGTTTGCATGTATTATATTATTTTATTCTATTTTAGTAATTAGTTTATATAATTGTGTCTTAAATGGATTTTTTTTTTTTTAGGAATGAGGGCGGTACCTCCGATATTTTATTAATATGCCATCACTTGTGGTGGAGGAATACCTTGATTACAAATGATATCAATAACATAAAGAAATGAGGAAGTACTACTTCCCTTACAATGAAATTAAATAAAAATAGGAAAACGGCAAAAAAGAAAAGGAGTACTACTCCCTTACAAAAAAAAAAAGCACGTGTAAGCAAAAATAAAAGAGCAAAAAACAAATACTTAAACTCTAATACTGGGCAAACCATATCTGTCAATCTGAACAAGTGCCCTGATATGTTGTGGTAGGTCGGCTGGTCCATATTCTTGATATCTACGATGATGCCATCCCTTAATAGCAAGTGCATCTGCAACTTGGTTCCCNGAAGTGCCCTAATGTGTCGTGGTAAATTAGTAGGTCCATATACCTGGTAGTTGCGATGGTGCCAGCCCTCAGTAGCAAGTGCATCTGCAACTTGGTTCCCCTCTGTGAAGATGTGGGAAACCATATCTCTGTCAAAAGAAACGATATCTGCTATCTGTCTGAGGATCATCTGGATAGGCCAAGGTCTGCCACCTTTGGCGATGGAGTAAATGGTAACAGATGAATCTGCCTCAACCCAAATATCTGACAAACCAAGATCTCTAGCAAGTAGTATCCCATCGCGAATAGCCCTGAGTTCCACCTCTAATATCATACACTATCCATATGAAGTTGAGAAAGCCCTCATGCAATTACCTGCATAGTCCCTGATGATGCCTTCTCCACTGGCAAACCCATCCTTGACATAACCATCGGTGTTGATCTTGACAGATCCAAAAGATGGAGTGCGCCACCAAACCATGATAGGGAGATGGGATGGGGAGGGAGTCAAGGAAATACCAAAAAGTTTTGCAAGTTGCATGTCATTACGCCAATGTGACGGTCTCAATATTCCACCAATATGGAGGAATGATACCAAGCGGTAAACTCTCCAGATAATACGT